AGCAAGGCTTGTGAAGGATGTGGAACACCAGTCCTGTGAGGAGCAGCTGAGGGAGCTGGGGTTGTTTAGTCTGGAGAAGAGGAGGCTCAGAGGAGACCTTATAGTCTCTACAGCTGCCTGAAAGGAGATTGCAGCCAGGCAGGGGTCAGCCTCTTCTTGCAGGCAATAAGTGACAGGACAAGAGGACAAAGGTCTCAAGCTGCACCAGGGGTGGTTTACATTGGGCATTAGGAAGAAATTCTTCACAGAAGGGGTGATAGGGCATTGGAATGGGCTGATGAGGGAGGTGGTGGGGTCCCTCCCTGAAGGTGTTTAAGGAAAGACTGGACATGGCACTCAGTTCCATGACCTAGTTGAAAAGGTGGTGTCAGGTCATAGGTTGAACTTGATGATCTCAGAGGCTTTTTTCCAACCTAGTTGATTATGTGACTTTGTGATTTTTTTGTGTTGTTTTGACCCTGGACTAGCTATAAGATGCTAAACCATGCCATTTTCTAATTCTGGATTTCAAGCTGTCCTAGAAGTAAAACAATATTGTTACCATACACACCTTTTCACCAAACAACAAAATGATTCATCTTCTGCAAACCATGCAATGTTTGTGTAAGTCCTGGTGCAGTACCGTGTGTTGTAAATCCAGCTCACAGCAATACTCCTCATGCAGCAGTGCCAAGAAACATTCCACAAACCATCCTGGGTGCAAATGAGCATCTGATCTCGGTGACGACAAAGGATGGGCCGAGTGCTGCACAAAGTGAAGGATTTTGACTGAGTGGAGTGAGGTGCTGTGGCACACACCACAGTGGGAATGCCTCCAATCCCCCAGTGCCACGTGTAAAGTCACTGTGCTACCTCAGACACCATCCATAAACTTTCTGAAAGTTATATAAAACAATGGAATTCAGGAAAAAAACTAAATAATGGTAGCTGTCTCTTATTTGTATGGTATCTTACTCCTTTAACAAATACACCATTAATATGAAAGGAAAAAGAAGGCTAAGCATTAGATTGCTAAAGATGAGGAAATAAGAGTCTTTCTGTTATTGTTAGTTAATACTCTTCCCTTATCATTAGTTAATGTGTTATTGCAGCTATTGGATTAGTTTATATTATTATTCCTTTCATTAAAACATGTTCTAAATAGGTCTCTGGTTTTCCAAGTCTTCTGTTAGAAAGGCCTAAGTTGGGAAAAGATAAGGAGTTGCAGACATCATTTTCCATCTCCTGAAATCTCTTCACAAACCTTACGTAGTGCTTTTTGATTGCAGTATAAGAAAACTTAAATTTCTTTCTACATTTTTATATATGTTCTGCTAAGGATGAATAGAAGACAAGGAAAAGCACAAATTTAAATTGGGGGGGTTGGAGTCAAAAGAATTTTAAAAAGTCATCATTTTTTGTTTCTTTGGGTTTGAGGTTTTTTTAGCACATCTTGTTACTTGTTGTGAGGTTAAAGTAACAGATGTTTTCCTGAAATTATTTTCCCCCATTCTGCTCTTAAACTTTACTCTTGATGAAGTGTGGGCAAGAACAGTTAGTTTGCACAAGTCGAGGAGGTTTTGGGTTAGTGGTAGTCTCCTAAGTGAGGGGGTGGGATTAGGCGGCTGCAGCAGGTTGAGCAGGACTTTGATGACAAATAGAGGTGTTAGTAGTACTTTTGAAGTCTGCAGAGGACAGAAGGATAAGTGGCCCAATGCTGACTTCTGGGGGGGTCTTTTAGAACATCTTGAACAGGAGACTGTTAGCTAGGATTTAAAGAAAAAACAGTCAGGATTAGGATCTGGGTGGGTCAAGAATGAAAAAGAGCTGTCCTTGAGGACTCTGGCAAATGTGAGTTCTGAGCATGGAGGAAGGGGCAGCTTTCGAGGAGCATCAGAACATGTGAGGTTTGGATACAGAAGCCTGAGTTTTTGCAGTTTAGAGAAATGCAATAAAATGGAGAATGTAATGCAAGACTCTTAGAAACTGCTTAGGACTGCTTTTGGACTTCTGTCTGTTCCCTTACTCTTGATGTATTTTTTGTTGGAATATGCAGCCTAACCTCACTGCCATTCACTCTGTACCAGGCTGACAGGCTATCCCAGCTATGCTATCAGGCATGCTATCAGTTATGATGTCCCAGATAAACCTGTCATGCTCACTTTATCTGGTTATAATACAGTATTTTTCCTTCCTGAACACACTCAGGCAATCTGCTGAGTGCTGAATGTGCTATTGCAAATTTAGCTACCTTTACTGGGAGTCCTTCACTTTTAGAGTAGAGGTTCTCAACAGCTGTAAGGTCATTACATGGAAGTGCTTTTTTCCCCAAAATTTCTTTAGGTTTTGATCCTTTCTTTCAGATAAGATATTTCTCATTAAATTTAAGACCTCTGCCTGGCTGCCATGAACTTCCTCTGAAGCCAATGGAAAATGGAAAGTAACCCTTGGAGGCAGAAAAGCTTTTAAAAGACATCTCTTCCTAAAATCTAGCCTATTCAGAAAAGCAAGTGGGAAGAGACCAGACGTGCTAATTTAATTTTTTCCTGTTAGTCTCACCCTATTCCTCTTTCTCCATACTACTGATTTTAGAGCCACCTCTTTGATATTACTATGTATATTTTTTTAGTCCTGGAGATGATCTGTTAAAACATCTCGTTTGCACATGCTTGTCTTGCCTTTCTGCAGTGATCAGCTGAGATATAAGATCATCTATGCTGCTACAGAACATAAAAGAAAAATATTTTCTTTTTTCAAAGCAAAAGAATTTTGATGTTCTCGAAATGAAAGTCAAGAATTTTATTCCTAAGCTTATAGATAGAGTGGATGTCATTAAAAAGTCAGCATTTACTGAGGCCAGATGTTGATTGTGTTTTCTAGCATTGTTGACAAGCATGAGATTTCCTTGAGCAACAGACCGTGACATTTGAGAGCAACTTCCCCATGTAACTCTGGTATTTCACTTCCTGGATCATGTTTATAGCATAATTTTCACCATGCATTGACACAATTATCCTAGAGGATAACTTTGAGATTATATTTTAGAAATAAAAACTAATAATTTCTATTTATCAGGAAAATTTCAAAGTGTTACTGAAATGAGTGCAAAATTGCTTTTATAGCCTTTTATAGGTTTTATATGTAACATTTCTTTTACTTTGCTACAGTTCCATGTATCAATCAATTAATCTCCTCTGATGAATGAAAAATTATTTAACTATCAGGTAATATCCAAACTCATTCATCAAAACTCAGCTGCTTAGAAGTACTGGGCTTCTTTCCATAAGAAATTATTGCCGTAAAAATTGTTGATGGTATTTAATGATAGAAATACCTAAGAAGGAACCAGAATGTCACTGATTAAATACCAGGGTTTTAAGCATTATTTAGCAAAGGGGATAATTATTAGAATCAGGTTTAAATTAATTGAGTATTTCATACAGTAATTTCTAATTTAATTCTATTTCTTCTATCTTTTTCTTAATGTGGCCTGTGTTTTAATGAAATCTCAAACATCTCTTTAACAAACTGTTTATGAATTTAGAATCTAGATTTTGCCACCTGATGATGACAAACAGAACATCCAGGAGAGACTTATTTGTTTTGAAAAATACTAATGTAACAACATCAAAGAGATTGTTGACAATGCCAGTCAGACTAAAAGTCTCTCTGCCCTCGTGAGACCCCACCTGGAGCAGTATGTCCAGGTCAGGAGTTCTCAGCACAAGAAAGGTGAATCCCTTAGATCAGGTCCACAGGAGGCCAGAAAATGATCAGAGGGCTGGAGCACCTCTCTTGTGAAGACAGGCTGACAGATCTGGGGATGTTCAACCTGGAGAAGAGAAGGCTCCTTTGCAACCTCCCAGTGCCTAAACGGGGCTTTAAAAGAAGAGGGAGAGTGACTTTTTTACCTGGGCAGGTAGTGCTAGGACAAGGGGGGATCAATTTTGAACTTAAGAGATTTAGGTTAAATCTTAGGAAGAAATTCTTGACGGTGAGGGTGGTGAGGCACTGGCACAGTTGCCCAGAGAAGCTGTGGATGCTCCATCCCTGGATGTGTTCAGGGCCAGGTTGGATGGGGCTCTGAGCAATGTGGTCTAGTGGGAGATGTCCTTGCCGTTGGCAAGGGTTTGGAACTACATGATCTTTAATGTCCCTTCCAACACGAGCCATTCTGTGATTCCATAAGTAAAGCATACACGAAAATCAGAATGAAACAGAGCAGCTGTCAATCATCAGCCTATCTATACAGGAAAGGAGTTTAGTTACATCCAGCCACTAAATGTGGATAGTGAGGCTTTACACCACTTCACCTAATCTATTATATTTCTCTTCATACCTATAGGAACAAAAAAAAAATGCTCTTGTTTTTATCATCTAGAACCTAATTAGAACCATTATCAGCCTGTTATCTTAATCATAGAATCACTTTGACTGTAATGACTTAATTAACCTCTGAGCATATACCTGTAATAATCTCATACATTTTCTTTTTGGTTTTAGCAGTTATAGCATAGTTTCTACACAGTTTATCTGTGGCATGAGGTTACAGAGGCACTCCATAGAAGGAACTGAATAGGCAGGAAGAAATGAATTGGTTTTTTTCTCCAGGGAAATTTCTTGAGATTTTGAAAGAATGTCTCACTTGAACAAAGACGAAAACAAAATGCATCCTTTTGTTTTTTTTTGCTTCACCAGATCTGTTGCTCTTCCTTGGATATGCTCCAGCAAATTTATTAGGAAAAATTTCTTCATTGAAATGATTATCAGGCATTGGAACAGGCTGCCCAGGAAAATGTCTGAGTCAACATCCCTGGGGGTGTTTATAGGATATGTAGATGTGGCACTTAGGGACAAGGTTTAGCTGTGGACTTGGCAGCATTTGGTTAACAGCTGGATTCAATGATCTCAGGGGCCTTTCCCAAAGCAAATGATTCTGTGGATCTAAGGCAGATGCACTGAGGAAGCAGGGCGATGACTGTGTTGACCCTGAGATGGAAGAACACACGGAAATGCCTGAGAACAGACCTCCCAAGTATAAGGGTCTCTAAATCCCATCTGCTCTTGCAGTTGGTGGTGTGAGGGGATACTGGATCATCACACATCAGACATCAAAGGACATGGCCACACAGGGAGATGGATCTCTTTCTCTCGGGATTTGCTTTTCTGGGCAAAGTCATGATAAAATGTTTGAGATTCCTCCCAGACTGCTCCTCAGGGGCTGCATCCAAGCTCAGGTTGTGTCTGCTCCATGAGGACGGCTGAGGTCTTCTTCAAGCACCAGCCTATGGTCATGCTCAATGTTTGATAAATATGGACTGAGAAACAAAACCCTGCTTTGTGCTTCATCTTGCAGCAGGAGTTGAACCTATGGCTTTCTCACTCACTGAGTGGTCTGGTTCTTCCAGAGAGGAAATTTCACCCTTCAGAGGGAAATTTCCAACAGCCCAGGCACATGTCACAGACACTGCTGGACTGACCAACTCTGCCAGCTCAGCATGAGGTAACTGTATGGCCAATATCAGGCATTCAACTGGCACAAATCTATTTTCCAGAAACCGTTTTTGTTCAAGCTACCTTTAAGGAATAAATACAAAAGCTGCCTATTTCCCGCATGAAAGCAAATATCATCTGGGACCTTAATTCATTTCTGCACTGATGAGCAGGGGAAAGCTCTAAAATTTGATTTACAGACGTTCTGAGAACTCTGGTGTGCCAGAGTTTAATTTTTGGTATTCAAGGCAAAGTACTGCACTTTGCTCAGGTTTATTTATTTTTCTGTAATGTTATCAATACATTTAAAAGAAAACATGGAGACTAGTATACTCTTGGTGTGAAAGCATACTGAAGAGGGCTCAATGTGGTTTTACAGTCACAGTCCTGCAAAATGGGAAACGTTGCAATAAAATAATTTCTAGAGCTTCATGCAGTTGCTCTGAGCACCTTATTAATTCATTTTTTTAGCTGAACATGAGATATTTTAATCTTTTGTGAAACTATATTAATTCCATTCTTTGAAAAGGGCTCTTGATGCCTAAAACCCTGATGAAAACCAGATTACAAGTAACAGATTTTATCTATGAAGAAAGATTTTTAGTTACTTTGGTTTGTGCTTTAGCCCTGTTTTTTGTTCCTGTTGACCTAGACCTTGTCTTTTAGTAAAGTTCAACACTAATAGCCAGGAGGACTGATGATGTTGAAATAGAGCAAAGACTTAAAATTTCATACCGTCTAGGTAGCAGAGCCACAGACAGATTCTCTGCTTGTGTGAAGACATTTGCCTACAACAGATCTATGATGCTTTATAAAGAGTAAGGTTTGGACCCAGGGGAGTGGGTTTGTGTGTCTCATACAAATTACTGCCTTTAGTGTCCTAATTGATACCATCTGTAGTTTTACACCCTTTCCTTTTTTTCTTCCTTTCTCCTTTGTAGTCAGAGCTACCTTCAAACTGCAAGTGACGTGCCTGGGGGTCACAACCTGGATCCCTCTGCAAACTACAATTCCCCAAAGTTTCGCTCAAGGAATCAGAGCTATATGAGAGCAGTGAGCACGCTCAGTCAGGCCAGCTGTGTTAGTCAGGTGGGAAATTCTTGTTATAATTTTTCTTATAGGTTAACTGCAGATGTAAGAGTTGTAACTAGTGGATGGTTTTAGGTTTTTTGCATTTTTTAAATCAATATCAAACTGAGGATGTGAATTGTGGAAGTAATTCAGTTCTGAGGAATGTAACTCAAAATTTCAAGAAAAATACTGAATGCTAGGGGCAAAGAAACAGTATCAAACATTATCTTTTTCATTTATTTTTTATTAAAAATATAAATACTAGTGGTTTTATTTTCATTCCATATTAAATATTTAAATGTTAAGAAGATTCAGACTGAGCATGAGGAGTACACTCCTACAACACTCATCATCTGAAAACACCGGCTCTGATTTCAGTAAATGTGGGTTGACAGATTAAGATATAGATTGAAAAAAATATGCTCCAAAAGTGTTTCATCCTAAGTCAAAACCCTCACCCTTCTTGGGTGAAAGAATAAATTCCATCAACTATTCTATGTATCTGGACTCCTGAAAAGGTACAGTTTTCCTCCCTACTGGTTTTATGTTGTCTGTTAGTTAGTACTAACTCATGGTAAAGTAAGGTCTGAATCACACCTGAAGTGCAATAAGCCAGAAGCATTATGTATGCATTCTTTGTAGCAGAGGACTTTACATAAAATTCCCAATGTTTCTAATGTTTATTGGTCCTGACTTTTCTTCCCTGTGTTGTTTCATGACAGATGGGCCCTGCCCACCTCTCAGACATGGTACTTAATATTTCTTTGACCATTTAGTGAACCACCTAAGGGTATACATACACAATGGTTATGTTAAAAGAGAAATCTTTTTTAATAAAGCAATTTCATATTCAGTCATATTCGATTTGTGCTGCATGGCTATTCAGGCCTGGATTCAACTCGTCTAAACTGAGGCTTTTAACTGAGGCAACAACTAAACCTTCCTCTGTAGTTAATGGAGCAAAAGAGATTCTTCCAGGACAGTGAACATCCCGAGTGGGCTGAGAGCCCTCTGGAAATGCTTGTCAGTCTCCACTGACTGTAGAGAGCTGGGAGGGCTAGTCACCTGACTAATGCCCTTCAGTCAAATTCCTCAATTCGTGTGAGGTAATTCTAAATTTAATCTTATGCAACACACATTAGTATTAGAAACAGTCAGTCATTTTCCAAACCTTTCACTATTTTTTTCACAACTCACCTGTGAAAACTGTTCCCATCATTCTGATGCCTTGTTTTTTATTATGCTGCTTATTGGTTATTTTGTCTTTTTATTACACTCTGCTTTTGAGAAAACTTCATGCGTATTAAATCTTGCATTCAAAGCAAATGCTGTCAGCTGCCAACTAACAACGTTCTCACATAAAACTAGTCTAACATCTTCTGCCTCTTTGGCCACGTCTGTGCACAGAGATATTCACCAAGCTGTCCATGATGATTAATTGGTTTCAGTAGTGGTTACAATTCTTCATTTCAGTGTGCATTACCTGGAAGGTGTCCACAATAGATTTCATTTGCAGGTAGATTGCTCAATTGGCCAGATTAACTAAACCTGCTGGATATAGTTCATTGCTTTTTCAATGTTCACTAAGCTATGCAACTTTATGTTAGCCACACACTTCCTACCTCACAGTCCAGCTGTTTCCAGACCATTAATAAATGCATTTAATAGATATTACCCCAAGCAAATGTATTAAAATATCAAGATCTGAACCTGTTCTTTTTCCATGACACCATCCTCCTCTTGTTCCATCTACATAATAGCAGTTTGTGTAATTTGTGAGATTACAAACTCTTTTTTTGTCGTGAGATCCTTCCTTTTTCACACCTGACAAAGGGTAGACTCAAGAAGAATGCTGAATTTCATGGTATATATTTTTAATTTCAGATTGAAAATTTTAATTTTCTATTGTCAATAACCTTAGTTTAAAATAAGTGGCTAAGACTTACTGAGTTCATGGACTAAATTACCATATATTTCCTGATCAACAATATTGTGAGATAGTTCAGAGTAAGATTTTTTTTATCTCTTTGAGATTGCATTAGTCAACTTTATTAAAAGCAAATTTTATGAAGAGTAGTTTAATTCTTTTCTGAAGATTTTCAGTAGTCAAAATGTCTTAGACAAAATTATCAGTTATTCATAATCATCAGAGCTTCTCTATAAAATTTCCATTTACTTAACCAAAACCGTAAAACATTTGAAACATTTGATGGGACTCTCTTTCCATAATGAATAAAGCACTAGCAGCACTTAGCAGCTGTATAGGAAAATTGATATCAACTGGATGTGCCATTTAGTGATCCCATAAATTTAACTTGTAAAATTATTCATATTGATTCTGATATCTAGCACTCACTTTTTAGAAAAAATTATTTTCAGAAAGTCATGCACTTATCTGTCCAGTGTTACCTTCCTATCTGATTTTGGATAAACATTTGAATTACTCAAGTACATTTACAAGTAGTTAGGGCTGCCTTCAGTGAAAGTTTGAAAAATGCTGTAGGTAGAATTAAGGCACTAATCCTCAAAACAGTGACATATGGTTGCCTACCAAGAGGCTCCCCAAGCCTGGCCACTCTGCCTAAGTCCTGTTTATCATGAAAATTACCTCTAAAAATGGTGCAGTGTTGCATCATGCATTAGATGCTCGGTCCTGCCTAAGTGCTGCTGAAATACCCCAAGGAGGGACAACATGGAGCTGGAGGCTGCTGCTGAAATACCCCAAGGAGAGAGAGGGTAGAGGGTTCAGGAGGCACAGCTGGGCTGCTCTGACAGGCAGGGTTCCACAGCACTCCTGCTGGTAGAAGTGTCAGATTTTATATAATGCTGCTGAAGAAAAGGTTCTTCCATGGAAGTGAATGGCTAACCAGTTAACCAGGAAGTGAGTTCGGCTTGGGTCCCTTCTCAACTGTGGCAAAAGATATTAGATGGAGCATTACTCTATGGCATGTGTGATGCATTTAATATAGATGTGATAACAGCTGATCTAAGTTGAACAATGTGTATGTGATCAGAAGGGATTACTACATTTTAACTATTTGCTAAAACAGTTCTTCATCAATGTACAGGTGTCCATTTGAGATGTTGAGGCCGTGATGATCACAAAAAAGCAAGTCAAAAATCAAATGCATTGTTGTTGTTTATTCAGATGAGTGAAGCAGAGGTTAATGGGCAATTTGAATCGGTGTGTGAATCAGTGTTTAGTGAAGTTGAAGCTCAGGCAATGGATGCCCTTGACCTCCCTGGATGTTTCCGAACAAGAAGCCACAGTTACTTGCGTGCCATTCAGGCAGGCTATTCCCAAGATGATGAATGTATACCTGCGCTGACATCCTCCAACATCACCTCTACCATCAGGTCAACCACAGGTAAGCGAGTCTCCACTGACCCTTTCACTGCTTTGCATGTAAAAACATATCAGCTTGTTTTCTAAAGGGAGGTTTGACACTAGAAGCATTTTTGCTGTGTAATGTTTGATACCAATATTCTTATGTTTTTAATACTGTACCATTGTGGCTACATCTTGGAATAAGCTCTTTCTGGGAAGAATCCTGTGTGCATAATGTAATGGACCTGGATTTTTGACCTCCATTTCACATACATACAGTTATCTAGGTGCAAATATAAAAATGCAAGTGTAAATGGTATAATATTGTTAGACATTTATGTGGTTTATCTATCAAGTAATTGACCTTCTAGATGACATTCTTTGTGCTAGTTTTAATTTAAGTTGTTAAAGTACCAAAAAAAAAAAGAGAAGTAAGATTAAAAATATTTAGTCTAATACTCAAAGGCAGTTAATGTAAAAGGTAATTAATTACTTTTAGGCAAGGTGTAATCAATTGTACCAGTGCACTGAATTGTAAGCATTTTGGCAAGCTACACACGTCTGCTGTTACTCATTATCCATTCACATTCATTGTTATAACACTCACTGTTAAGATCTTTTAACATTCTTCTGGCAATTTTCTTTTATTACTTGCTTAGCAAAGACAATAGCTTTATCCATTTTAGAATTTTAGTATGTATTGGTGGAGGAAAGATTGCACAGAGAGCCATTCAATAATTAAAATGAAATCTATAGGAAGTATGTATTCTTTGTAAATGGATCCAAATTCACTTCTACGTTTCCAAATATGTTAATGCCAGTTCCTAATTATGATATTGTCCTTGCCACATACTATTAAGCTGTAGTGCAGGCTACCCATCTACAAAAGGTAAAAATGAGTTCAAATTGTATCGTATAAAAATACTTTTTAAATTATTTGCTTGATACATCTGTTGTATAACAGAACAGTGGGAGCTTCGAAAGGAAGCCATGGATGAATAATATACATTTGCATCCCAGAAGTAGCATAATATGTTATTTTATCTTAAGCATAGTATTTTAATTGTTATATAAAACTCCGTGGAAAACTAGAAATTGTTGCTTGCAGTGCCCCCTCTAGGGATGTTTCTGTTCTTTGATTAATAGAGATATTATCATGATATCAAATGAGATCTTATTGCTACCCCAGAGACTGATTTTCATCTTTATCATATATTACTGTGTGATCATGGAAGACACCTTCCATGGCAAAAGACACAATCAGATGCTTATATTGGGATGTGCTCCGAGTACTGAATTGGAATATTTTCAGAATTACCTTGGTTACCAAGTGGACTGACTTTTACCTAAACTGTCTTGAGTTTATATGCTATATAAGCCCAAAATACTCACTGAAAAGATCTTTTTTTTTATTTTCCTCAGAGTGAAAAAGCTGAATAATAGAATATATTTGGGAAAATACATGATTAGGTAGTAAGTATGTTTGCATCACAGTGTTTTCATGCTCATGAGAAAGGTTTTGCATTGATTAGTAGTCTGCTGGTTAAATACTATGGTTTTGAAAATTTTAACCTTCATTTCAGTCCTAACTTCTCCCTCATCTCAGATATGATTTATCAAATAGATTTTCTTGCTCACAATGTAAATCTTATGTTTTGTGGTGGGGTGATATTGACAATCTGGGGAAAAAAGATTACTTGAGATGTTTTCCTGTTCCAAAATTATTTCCAAACCTATGGACTGTATACAGTTCTGAGTGTGACTCTGTAATTAAAATGTCATCTCTGTGCCATGGAGCAAATCTCTCCTCAGCTTCTATATAGGGTAAATATGCAAATCAGAAATAATATCTGATATACAAGAAGAGTAAGGATTATATGATTCACTTTTAAAAGAAATTTCAGTTGTCAAATAAGTTCTTGTTTTTAAAATCCTAGGTGTAATGCTTTCATTTTTATCTCTTCAGCCCTTGTCACTTTGGAGGGAGATGCTGCATTTCCTATTCTTACTATAATTTTTACAAAAATCTTACTTCTTCTTCCCTTTCTGAAAATTGTAAAAGAAGCAGTTGCCTGAAATGTGAAAATGGTGTTGGCAGATATTTGACATTCAAATAAATGTCAGAAAGGTCAGACATTCACATCAGCTTTTATTTTCAATTCAGTCTTTCATTTCTTAGGAAAATTACTTTAACTTCTTTTTTGCTTCTGATGTAACAAATTCTTCTTGGTAAAGAAACTAAAGGAATTTGTTAGAAAATTAACAGTCATTTCAATTTAATTATTCCATTCAATTTTAGTTATACAGGTCATGACTGCCCCTTATCATTGTCATAAAGCAATTGATTCATAACACACAGGCTTAGCTAAAAATTAATTCTTGTTACTAAAAATGTAAACCTAAAATAAAATTCTTTATGAATTCCATTACAAAAGTATAGAATATATATTTACAGCATGCCTTTTCCTAAAATCTTCCTAGATGCATTTACAATTTTCAGGAGGTTGCAACTATAACGAATATTATGTGGGACATTATTAATGGACTATGATAACAGGATTTTCTAATAGATGGAAAAAGAACTACCAGTATCGGGCTCTTCTAAACTGCTTACAGCTTTACAGAGAAACATTCGTACTAAAGAGCACATAACTTCTGCATGGATCCATGTAGTTTAATTATTTGTGGAACCAATCTTCTCCTCTGAGGGAGATTGTCCCAAGGCCTAGGGCACTCCCTGCTGCCCCGGGTGAAAATGAATGAGACAAGTGACAGGGCAAAGGAGGCAGCCAGCATTGCTGGCCTATGGTGAGCCAGACCTGGCCTCCGTGTGACCCCTGCTGAGACTCTTCTGTCATTGAGGTTAGGGCACTTCTAGCCACCACGTTCCATTTGGTGAGGAGATAATGAACCCAGTAAAAGATACTTGATGTTAAAAGCCCTGAATGGCAGCATATGCCTTCTGCCTCTGAACCGTATCCAGTCACAGCTGTCAGATGCACAGCTGAGAAAATGCAGCTCCAGCTGCTGCTGCCTCCCACCTCGTTCCTCCGTCACAGACAACATGTAATTTCCTGAATGGGAAGTCACTGAGTGCAGTAGTCATCCTAAGTGCTTCTGACTTACAGCTCTGCTACTCCTGCAAGCAATGTTTCACTTTTCAGGAAGAGTTCATAGAAACTGGGTCACTTTCCCAGGTAGTACCGGCCTGGTTCCCTGTTGTGTAAGCACATCATCCCACTGTCGGCTCAGCAGACACCCCGGCAGTGTGGCACAGTGCTGTGGGAGGCACAGGCTGCTGTGCCACCACCAGCTGAGCCAGAGCAAGCCCGGGCTGTAGAGTCCTGCTGGGAAATGGAGGGCAGTAGGTCGGGAGCAGTAACCCCTTGTCCCAGCTGCAACACCTGCCTTCCCTCACTGAAAAGCAGTTCAGATACTGTGGTACAGCACTAGACTGTACTATGCAAACATAACCAACAAGGACATCTGGAAGGTATTAATCACTCCCTCGTTCCCCTTTGTTTGAGAAGGTCAACTTATTTTTGCTACAAGTTCTGTATGTAGAGAGAGTCCTTTATATTAATCATTCCTTACATTATAGATTATTTCAGGATGTTTCCTCACAGGTTTTTTTTTTTTTAGTTTGGTTTTACTGTGAGTGCAGAAACACTGAATTGCAATGGTAATGGAGGTAGCAGTTAGTATGGTCTCTTGTGAAGCAGAAGGACATGCTAAAATCCATTCCCTGAGAGAGAGAGAGATTAACTTGGTGTTTGCACTTCTGGCCAACTTGAACACCAGCTTATCATCTCTTCAGATGTGGAGGCACACATATTTTCTCCTGATGATATTATATACCTTGTATAAAACACTTTCATCTTTTTTGAGAGAAACATTTCCTCTGGATTCCTCTGGACCACTGCTCAGGATGTTTACCCATCAGGTGGAATAGCTTCTCAGTGTACATTGCTTTTATATTCAAATCAAAGCTGCTAGCCAGAAATACTAAATATGTGACTCAATCAGATGCATGAAATCCTTCTCCAGCAACAAGCACAGACTAAGCAGACTCTGTTAAGTTCTTTGGCTTTCAGTCTGATGAATAACAGAGAGGATCATTTTCTTAAAACTACTCCATGTATTCCTCTAACCCAGACTTTTTTGGCTACAACAGTATTTTTTGACTGCATTAATGATAAATTAATGGATTAATGATAAAAAAAAATCCACGTAGCTATTGACTTCAGCACAATGGGGACTTGGTCAGGGTATATAAAGGCATCCTGAATTTCTGTCCTATGTTAAATGTCAGTCCAAAGCCATTTCTTCCACTTCAGGGATTTCCTGCTAATTTCTTGAGAGAAATTTAGCATAAAGCATTACAGGCTATAGGGAACAGAGTTACTAATCTTAAGTTGCCAGTATACTGCATAAATTTTTTAAATTCTTCTAGAAAATGTAGCATAATGCAATCTGTCAGATTTTTCCAATCCTAATGATTCTCTCAGTTGTGCATACACCTCCTTTTTTCTGATTCATAGTAGGTAGATCAACAACTTAGTTGCTTTAGCATGCTTGCTAAAGACATCACTGAGGAAGATGAAGTGACTTTGAGTCATTTTACATTTTTGAAAACTGTCTTTGGGCCATTTTACTTTTCTCAGTCAGCTGGACTCTGCTTGGCAATGAGTAAACTTTAGAGAATTCCACATTTACTGAACTATTCAGCACTAATTCCAAAACCAATTAATTCAAGCAAGGTCACATTGGATGAGGAAGTTTTCAATTAGAACTTCAACAATTACTCAGGATGCCTGAGGAATTGCAGGTTTCCCTTCTCTGGACTTCAAGCTATTTTCAGCTCTCCATTTTAAAATCAAGGGCTATATAAGGTGAATTTTTACAGCCCATGTTTGATATTTAGCCACAAAACTCTCATGGTGAGTGAACTGATTGCATAATCATGTGCTTACAAAAATAGTGGATGAGAAAATGATACTTCACAGAGAAATTGTACTGTTCCATAGTGTGGCTACCCCT